GCATTTTGTTCTTCACCTAACATAAAAATATAGCTTTAAATATTTAATGACTTATATTTAAATCATCTTACCTTATAAAAAACTTAGTCAAATAAAACAATTACAGAAATATTAAAATAAATCACTTCGTTAATCACAAAATTGGACGAATATTAAAAGCGAAAACTAAACACGTGCACACCCTGCTCTATGTAAACAGAGAGGTCAGGACACGTGTGACGTCACTAACTTGCCATTCCTGGCTAACATTGTAGAATAGGGATCTGGCTATCCTTGTAGTATACAGTCCTTGAATCTTACCATTGAGACTTTAACAGAGCTGTGGAGCATATTGATAGGAACAAAATAGTCAAAGGAACCGTGCTTCATGGAAATTTGTAAACAACGCCCATTAGGGGGCGTCCCGGGCTACTAGTTCAGTTACAGATTCATCGAAAAAATCCGCTGTATGGCGGGCCGCCGCGACAAATATTCAACAGTCTACATTTCATAATATTTTTTTTCATTTCTTTTTCTCAGAAATAACAAAGTAATAATACTATGTAAAGTTAATTTTATATGCATTTTTATACTAAATGATAAATTGATATTATTAAACATGGGACAACAAAGGTTTTGTCGTATATTTGTACACAAGACTAGACAAGAAGCATACCGCATAACAAAGGTTTTATTGTCGCGATATAGGAAATATACTTCGAAATACCTATCGAATATCCTAAGCGGTTGGCTTAGGGTTTTCGATATTTGGAAATAATGTTGGAACTGCCTTGTGGGTCAAATTCCATTTTTTTTTATTTCTCATTTAATTTCAACACCGGCAATTTATATTATGTTTTCAAGTTTTTAAAATAAATCTTGGATCAAAATGTACATCACAAACGTGGCTGTTTGTTGTCATAGTCGTGTCCTTTTTTTTTTGGTATGGATTTAGTCCATTTATTCAAATGTGCATCTTTAAGTTTAAAGAAATGTCTTGTTTGATCATCACTCGTTAAAACTTCATAATTTTTCTTTTTCTTTCCCTAACCGCTTCATTTACATCCAGGTACGAAGCAAGTCGGCATGGTAGCTTTCTGCTGAAGACACGAAGACAGCGCTATCTTCAGCATTAGTCATTTCTTTAACATGGGGAGAATAGGGTCGTGCACAAACCAGAGAAATAAAATAACTTCGATTTACACTTAACAGTCAAGATCGTAAATGGCGTCATAAATACCGAATATCTTCTTACACTTTAAAGTGGCCGGCAAATCTTCTTGATAACACAACCTTTGAACTTTCACCACAATAAACGCTGTCGTCGTAACCATTTTAAGTTTCTTTTTCGTTACTACTATAGTACGGTTCTTGTGGAACTTCGTCCTATTTGTAAGTAATTACAAAATGAATGAAAAAACCATGTTTTATATTTTTTTTGGTGTTATTAAAAATTATCGTATAATAACAGCGATCGAAATACTCGATAATGTTAATCGGGAAAACAGACTCGTAAAAAATAGCGATATTGTAAAAATTACACCAGTCCGATTATTTCTTTTATAGTCGGAAACAATGGCGGCTTAGTGTTTTAATACAATAATAATGTTTAAAAGTATCAATGATTTAAAAGCAACCACTTGAAGTTGTCGGTGTTTACGTCNATGAATGAATAACTCAGGAAAAGTTTATGGTTTCTTAGTACCGTAAGCTTCCAATAACTCGTGACATTATCACAATGCCGGGCTGCAATTTTTTTTTATAATTTATTTAATTTAAAATATATGCTCTCCATCTGAAATTATTAGTGACTTGCCCCTGTAAATCATACTTTTCCTTTAACAATAGAGTCGTGTCGGTCATCTGTCTAACACTTTTTAGAGGAAAAGTTTTGAATTGAAATAACGTGACTTCCGGTTTTAATCGGAATTTCGTATATAGTTAATCGGGACCTCTTCCCCCCCAATAATAATAATAACAATTACATTGATAAATAAAACATAGTTGCGATAGTGGCGCTGCGATTTGTATCAGTGGAGTGGACGGGATGTGTCGTTTATGTTTGTTGTTTTTCTCTGCTCTTTTTCCCATTTGTTCCAGTTTATGCAATGCTATTGCTCCTCCTTATTACGGACTAGATCGACCAGCTTTAGAATACGAATTACCACCTTTGCCTTATCTGTTTCACGAACTCGAACCTTTTCTAGATGAAGAAACTGTCAGAATTCATTATCTCGGACATCATTCCAAATATACCGAAAATATGAATATGGTTTTGAAAGAATGGAGGAGAAATGCCCAGGTATTCTTTATTAAATCTGATTCCACAAATTATTTTTCCGTCTTCCTCAAATTCCAAATATTTTAGAAAAAAAAACAAACTCGGACATCTTGATACTAATGAGGTGTGCAAACACTAAAACACGTGGATTCCACGTGACTTTTCTTCACATATATTTAACCTACACTGTTTATTCGACATTATAATAAAAAGTTGAAATTGACAGATGATAATTGATAAACGACTGCATAAATCCAATAGTAACTTAATGCATAATTTAATAACTTTTAAATTTTATTGTCTGTTTGGTTTACAATCAAAATATTGGAATATTGATTTAAACAAATTTTGGTTGTTGCAAACAATAGCAATGTGTCTTTAAGAGCGTCGGACTGCAGTGGTGTAGCGAACATAACTGGCACCCGGGGCACAACACTTTATTGGCGCCCCCTCCAGAAATACATATAGTTTGTCTTGGAGACCATTTGGGTGCCCCTCTGCGAGTGGCACCCGGTGCATGATACACCCCCCTTGCCTCCCCTCGCTATGCCACTGTCAGACTGGCGACAGTTTTTGCTTGGAAAATTGAGAATATGTATTGGATGTGGTATCTTATGTGTGTAAGGATGATTCGACTGCAGATTAATGCTCCGGCAAGAATGTGATTGTGGCAGATTGGCTGTGTTCCACTAGCCGTCCTGCGACGACTGTGATAAAGTAATAAAATTGCTATCAGTTATTGGAGAGTTTTTAAAATTCAAATTGTAATGATGAAACACAAATAGGAAGACAATATACTTTACTTTCACTTTTTATTATTAATTTAAACTTTATTTTTCCTTATTTCTTTTCCAAAATTTTTGCACTTTCTTTTTATTAGTTATTTTAACAAGATGAAAAGTTCTCATATTACAAAATAATTCCAGACAATTTTTTAAAATATTTCGACATCCTGTAAACCAATTGCAATTAATTAATATATGAAAAACAATATTCTATTAATCTAGTCCTATGCAAATATAAAATTTTTGGTAGAAAATTATAAGTACAAATTTTTTCACATGTAGATAAGACATTTATTCTATTAGTTGTAGATACAGTTAATTTTTCAATATATCCAGTTTTTCCTTTAACTAAATCTTTAAAACACAAAAAAAAAACTTTGTCTCTTGATAGAAAATTTGCACAATCAGTTATGAAATTATTATAACATTTTTTTCGGGTTATCAAAAAAAAATTTGCTGGTACAACTGATATACTTTTCCTAACACTTTTCCTTTTAGATTCATAAATTAATTTTCCTCAAATTGTTCTTACACAAAACAAGTTTGCCCATTATTTGATCTATAGATATTTTATCCAGATCAGAGCAATGACTGTTTATAATGTATTTCTTACAATCTATATATTTCTTATAATTATTTCTTCTATAAATTCTGAAATTCACAATGTTTAAATGGTATTTCACACATTTTGTCATGTCAAATTGTCAACTGCTTCAGTCAACTGAAAAAAGATCAAACTGAAAAAGAGAAATCATCCCAAAAATTCTTCTGATTTTCTGTCTGTTGATAAAAAATCCATAATCTGGAAACTCTGAGCAGTATTGTGTGAAAACCGTCTTTGGTTCTCGGCATCACTTCCTACTTTCTTGCCTGAAATTGCTGCGTGACGTCATGAAATCACTAGATATGTGGTGCAAGGGACTCCCATTGCTCAGCAAGACATTCTGCTGTTTTTCCAGAAGCAAGCTTTATGATTCAATTTCATGCTGAATGTCAAAATAAGCAGACTAGGATTTTTATCCTAGTCTGTTTATTTTATACCAGTATTATATTTTTATTGCCACATCAATAAAAATATTACCAAGTGACAATTTTGGCATTATTTGGTGTGTACCCTGGAATTTGAACAGTTTATAGCTGAACACCATTGAAAATGATTCTTTTGTGCACATTATAATTTTCATTTTCCCATTTTTACTTAATTTCTTTAGTTTGTTTATAAAATTTCAAAATTTTGGATGTAGGTCATGACATAACACTAGTTTACTGCATTTGCTGCTAGGGATTACTTTCAATACCATGTGCACTAAGTGCAGCCAATTTTACTATAGCCATGTTTCATTTGGATGTAAATCTGTGTTTCAACTACTGGCAGTTCGGTCATGGGTTTGCACCTTGCCAGGATGGGCTGGCCATGTGGAGGTTTCTAGGTTTTCTCAAGCCTGAATAGGGGCCAGTTACACCTCCTGGAAGGCATTCCACTAGGCAGATCATCCAAATGTTGCATTGCCGTAACTTAACTAAATTTAATGGTCATGCTTTTACCATATCTATTATTAAAAAATTCATTCCTTTTTTTTAAATATAGATATCAATAATGCAAAACAATGCAACTGCAATTTTTTAGATCAAATCTATAAAAATTTATCAATTTAAGCAAAAGTTTAAAAAGATTTAATAAAAAAATGCTCAAAAGTTGCATAATCAATTTGTTCATTGCTTCTCTAGTTTTAACAAACAATTCTTCTATAAATGTTAAATGCCAAGGTTGGGCAATTGCTCAGTGANACCATATCTATTATTAAAAAATTCATTCCTTTTTTTTAAATATAGATATCAATAATGCAAAACAATGCAACTGCAATTTTTTAGATCAAATCTATAAAAATTTATCAATTTAAGCAAAAGTTTAAAAAGATTTAATAAAAAAAATGCTCAAAGTTGCATAATCAATTTGTTCATTGCTTCTCTAGTTTTAACAAACAATTCTTCTATAAATGTTAAATGCCAAGGTTGGGCAATTGCTCAGTGACTATTCGTCTATTCCTTATTTCAATATATGTTATATTTCACCTGAGCAAAATAAATTAATAAACAAAATACAAGTTATTTATTGTATTAAATTAAAAGTCTTATTGTATTTCAGGCCATAAGCTGTTGTTGTAGTCATATGAATATATGTCCAGCTCAAGGTAAACACAGTCTATTCTTGAAATTTTAAAATGACTGGTCCTCAATTTGTATGAGGACTGTCATGGAACAGTCCATGCAAACTGACATTCAACCAATCATGATGTACATTTGTAACTTCTAATTGAAAGTAACTGATCAATACTTGGGCCACGACTATCATGGCAGGATCCACATTGGATTAATGCTTGTCATTACCTGGATTTAAACCTGGAACCCCAAAGAAGTAAACAGACATCTTAACTGCCTCAGCAATATATATTGCTGGATAGCTGAGGCATTTAATTTCAGACTGAAGTTGAAGTGCCCTCTAATATGTATATGAGAGTAGTTCAACTTCTGTCTGAAATTTCAGTAATGGCAATGATGGAACTATGCTTTACAAAGCTTCAATCTATATTTCTTTATTTAGGTATTCCCCTTCTACACACTAATACTTCTCCCATTGTATTGGCAATGACACTAGAACATGCAGAATGGAAATCTTTTTACTGGTGTCAGAGCCATTATGTGATGGATTTCAGTGTTCTGGATGGGTCTCCCATTTCCTAAAGTTTCCTTCAAAGTAGCAAACAGATGATAATTGTATGGTGACAGATCTGATCTGGCCATGTGGTCCAAAATTTCTCAACCAAGTCTGTTAATCACCCCACCATGCATAGGGCCATGTTCTGACACCATTCAAAAGATTTCTATTCTGTAGACATAGAGTCATTGTCAAAACAATGGGAAGAGTGTCAGTATATGGAGAAGTTTGTATCTAGAGAAATAAACAAACTGAGACTATGCAAAACATACAGTTCCATCACCATTAAGACTTTCCACAAGCATTCTCTTTTAGTGTATCATAGCTACACTAGAAAAAAATACTTATGAAATGATTATGAAAATATTTAAGAGATCAAAAATCTTCTTATCATAATTAAGTTTAACTTATGCTTTTTATTATATTCTGATCCATATCTATTAAATGGAAAACAATGCCTTCATAAATTATATGAAATAATATTTGACATACATGGCTCTAGCATATTTTTATGAGTTTTTAGATAATCCCATGAGGTATAGAATTTGAAATAAAAGTTATTTAACTATGAAACAGTATTTCAAGATGACTTATGCTTGTACTAGATTAGACTTCTAAATAACCCATAACTTATTCAAATGCCGAAAACTGAAAGTTAGAATGATTTTACATTAAGAAGAAATAGATAAGTAGTGTGTTAAAATTAGAATTTTAATTGATTATTTATGAAAGAAAAATTTTAATTAAAATATCAAAATATTTATGGAAAAATTTAGATTTTATATTTATTAATATATTTTACAGGGTAAACAAACCTCTAGGATTTCTATCATTGATATTCTTCGAAATTTATCAAGAGTTCCAAGTAGATATCAAATAACATTAAAAAATAATGGTGGTGGGTAAGTTTAAAATTTTAATTAAATGAATACTTTTTAAAAATGTTTCTTAATTAAAAAAGTAAAAGTTCTTTTAAAGCTTGATAATGATGATTTTGATTGAAAGAACAATTTACTAAAATGTAAGAAGTAATTATTTTAATAAGTTTTACATTCCAATTTAAAAAGAACAAAGTAACACAAGATATATTAAACATATATCATAATATATATCAGAATGAGACAAAATCTATTCACATTGCATTTTATTTTAATAAATCAATAAATATAATATAAAATCAATATTCTGTATAAATTCCTGGCAATTTAATATGTTACTACTCTAGTTTCAGAAGCTTTCGGATACTAAAAAACTTTTGATTACATGAAATTTCAAATGGACACTGGCTTTCTTGCTGATGAAATAACCAAATTCTTGAATAGTATGTAACGTGCCTGACATTTTTCTATTAAATAAATAAATGCTTACTGAAACTAATTAAATAATTTAGTAGAGATACACAAAGCGCAGATGACCATTCAGTGCATCAATCACAGGGATGCCGACAGTTTATCAGCAGGTTGGAAGTCCTTTTATGATAACATGGATTAACAGTCGCAATCACGTAGACGGCATTATTAATTGGTTTTATAACATTTACTTGGTGTATACTTTTTGTTTATTTTTAATTATTTGGTTTATATTTTTTATTTTTGAGAACGGACATGCACCTTAACGTTAACTTGTACATCTGCACTTTGAATTTTTGTATTATTTGAATACTTTGTTTGTTATATTGATGGAATCTGAACTGAAGAAGATCACTTAAATCGGTCGAAAATGTTTTTAGCGTATTAAACATTGTGCTGGACTAGTAAAAGGTGTTTGTTTATTTTTAAATTATTGTTTTCTATTATTTCATTTAGATTTCATAAATCATAAATCATCTCTAAAACAGTACAATCTTTATGAAATACAAGGAAAAGTCATTAAATAACAGGAATTTTACAATAACTTTTTTATAACGGTACTTAAAGAAATTCTTTATGCTTATTTTTTGACATTGTCACACTGCTTCACAACATATTTGGTTCGCCAGTCCACAAGCTTCCAGTTGCTCAAAAGAAAAAAGCTTTTTGGTGTGGCCTTTAACCAACTTTGCATTGCCTCTATTACCTCAGTGTCATCATCAAACTTCTGACCTTGCAAATGTCTTTTCACATGTCCAAACAAATGAAAATCAGATGGCACCAATTCCGAACTGTATAGTAGATGTTTCATCATCTCAAATTTCATACCACATAGTGTATCCATTGTATGTGTTGGTGATCAATAGACACCTGTCCTGAGACCCATCTGCTACACACTTTCCTATACCCAGGTCATCATGCATAATATTGAACACAGAGATGAGACTCCTGTTGAATTCTATGGAAATTTTATCAATAGTAACTTATCAGTAGTCATAGATTTGCTGCTCGATCTGGTATTTCACTGTCTCAGTGTCATGCAAACTGGTCTCCCACTCTAGTGTTCATCACTGATGTTTTGTCTTCTGTTTTTAAATCTTTTCACCCATCCATACATTCTCTTCAACTCAAACAATTGTCTCCGTACTGAACCTTCATTCTCTATAAATTTCAGGTTTTACTTCCTCTGAGCATAAAAATTGAATGACATTTTGTTCTTCTTTCACAGTACAGTTTGAGAATAGAGCAGCCATGTTGTATGAGCCTATTGCACAGGTGCATACCACTCAATCCTCAGGATACCTATATGTCATATTGCTATGGAGTCATTGTGTCCTGCAATAAGATTTTTTACAATGCATACAACTCCATGAATTTTAGATTAAAATTCTGTTATTGAATGACTTTCCTTCATATTTCTGTTTATTTATACTTGCTATGGTGTTGCAAAGCATTTGTGATTCCCTGTTATTAATTTGTAAAAAATATTCATGTTATGTTATTTCATAGCAAGATAAAATTAGCATGCTACTTTTGAACTCAGAAGAAAAACTTAAAAATTTTGATTACTTTTTTATTTTGAATATTCTCATGAAATTTTATGTTTTGTCAGTTGGAAACATGTTGTGTTTTATATTAATAATTAAATTTCATATCAAAATTTCATATTTTGGCATATTTGCACACTTTCATTTTTTAACAGTTAAAATTATTGTATTTGATACTACACAATAAACAAAAGACACTTTAAACAGGTATCCATCTTCAATTGAGCCCTTGTCCAAGAAAACATTCTATCTGCAATTTTGCTGTCTTGAGAAAATGGCAAAAATCCCTGATTTCCACTCACAGAACATACATCATTACCAAATAAACACTGAATTATAAAGATAATGTTGGAGTGATTTTACTGTTGTTACATATGTTCATAAAACTTACAACAGTAATTTTTATGAACATATGTAATGGGGGTAAATAATTTTTGGACACCCTGTATACTCAGTAATATATAAAATAATCAGATCACTAAAAATAACTACTAGTACATTAAATAATACAATTTTTATAAGAATTAAGAATAGAATTTATATTTTTATATTAACTTATTTATGAAAACTTTTTGTAATTAATAATTTTTTTATAGGTATGTGAATCATGCCTTTTATTGGGCTGTAATGTCACCAAATTCACAAAATGAGGATAGAATGCCTCAAGGACAGTTAGCTGAGGATATTAAAGCTAAATTTCGTTCTTTCCTAGAATTTCGGGACACTTTCACGGACATGGCAGAAAAATTATTTGGTTCAGGTAAGTTGAAATTATAAATATTATTGTTAAATTGTTACATTTAATTTAAATTAGAAAAATTAGTATGAGTTTATATACGTTATATAATTAGTGCATTTGTTTTGTTATATAGGATATGTTTGGTTGTGTAGGAATCATAGCCATTTTGAGAATCCTCAAGATTTGGTCATAGTGACAACAGCAAATCAGGATTGTCCACTTAGTAATGGCCTATGGCCAATTCTTGTGCTTGATGTATGGGAACATTCGTATTATTTAAAATATCATAATCAGAGATCAAAATATATTCATGATTGGTGGTATCTAGTTGACTGGCAAAATGTTTTGAAATTAGATGATTGGTGGAAGGGATTGAAATTGCATGATGAATTATAACATTTATAACTAAAAATTTGATAACTGGGGCCAAGCTAGTCTGTATAAATCTGTGTTTACTTTATCAAATTAAGGTAATTAAATATTTCCTATTAATTATTTCCAATAAAATTTTTATTGTATAATAATTTCATCAAAGTTTCATAAAATTATATTATATTATTTAATAATTAAATTTTTCAAAAAAGATGCTAATCTTTTGACTATTATAACTACATCTTTTTATTAATTATTTGTTCCTAAATTTAAATAATATCCGTCCATTATATATTTTAATTTAATTTTTTATAAAGTTAAAAATACATAATATATACAGGAAATCCTCATTAATTTGAACTTGGATAGTTCAAAATCCAATTAGCACTTTTGTCTTGGCCAGGAATATAGAGATTTACAAGTTAAGGAATTTTGTTAGTTTGAAATTTGAAGTGAAAATTCTATCTGAACTGCAATATGCATATGTTAACTCGTTCGTTTAGATTGAAGTGCCTCCATATTATAAGAGAACAAGAGACCAAGAACAACTCTAATCTGGTCACCATAGCTTTGCTTTTACAGTAACACATTTTTGGGTATCATCTTGCCCATAGAATACCGTTATTCTCTTATCTCATAAAATATGTCTGGGTTTCAGGATTGTAATATTGGGCTACAAGTAGCAGATTGAGATATTTGTAAGGCTATAGGCTACTAGATTTGTACTAGATAGGTTACTACTTTTTGGGCTACATTTTGAGGAATTTTGCTTTGCTTTTTATAAAAACTATCTGGCAACCTGCGAGCTTCTCACTGGGCACATGCTATTTACCTGCAGCATATTTATATTATTATTAATTAATGAAAATAGCATTCTGTATATGTAGTGTATTCCATTTGCTTAATAAATTACATCAATTACATGGCATTTGACATATTGTACAGAAATATGTAAACCAGATAATTCAAAACTCAATTATTCAAAGTCACTATTATTTTGTTCCTTGAATTTTGAACTAATGAGGATTTCCTGTATATATATTATTTAAAATATTACATTATTTAATTTAGAGATTTTAAAAAAAAGGTGCTGAAATCTGCAGTTTAATTATATATAATGTAACAAATTTTTTAAAAAAAGATACACAAGAATTACGTAATCTTAGCAAATCATTATTATTCTTTATCAATTCTTAAGTATCACATAAAATAAACATTTTAAACCATGACTCTTATAAGAAAATCAAGGAACTTTAATTAACACTAATATTTTAAAGCACTTTGATTTTCAGAGCCTGTTACAAAATTATACTACAGATTGATGTAAAAATTTACTGTAAAATGCATATTTGTTCTAAAATGTTAAGATTAACAATCATTTTGAAATATTTATAATACATAAAACTTTTATTCCAAACCTTTTAGTCATAATTTAAAACACATTTATAGATAAATCCAATATGTAACAATAGACAAAATTTTGTTATACTTTTGTTTTTTAGTCAAACAGAACTGTATTGATTGTGGAACATGTATATAAAATAGCTTCAACATAAATAGATATTCATTATAAGATTCAAAATATTAAAAACAGGTTACTAGTTTATTATATGGTAATTCAGTGAAACATGGCTTTTAAAATACCTTTTATATTTTAGAACAATTTATTATTTATTTTCAATTTTAAATAATAAAAATTATCTGGTATTTTAATTATTTTTAAATTTGTTAATCAGTGGTGTGCTGTCCGTGGAAGTGCCGCTCCCCTTATATTTTCTAAAGTATAAATACATATTGTGTCTATTTTCATATTTTAACGTACTTTGAATTACTTAAAATTAATATTTTATTATAACCGCATTATGTATTTTATTACAAATTTCTATACATGTGAAAAACAATGATAAGATTGCTATTGTATATTCGAATATAAATGTGTGTGTACATATTCCCAATGGAAGCACTGTATTGTCGAATATGGAACAGTGAAAATATCTGAATCGTATAAATCAGCCAGATTGCATGCATTTGCACATGCACTTTTCAGAGTACAAGGTAAACCAACCTCTGGTGGTTTACTTTGTAGATGCTACACACCAAAATATTGTATAATGCGTCTAGTGGTTCTATCCATTAGCTACTCATAGGGAGCTACTTGACTAAATGCACTGTTTTAAGATTTAAAAAGTAAAGATTTTATGTTATTTTTATATATGTTTCTTTACAAAGCTATATTTAATTATAATTTTCTTTTAATTATAATTATATTGACAGATTTTCAGACATAAAATCTTCAGAATTTTTATCACTTTTAGATGTTAATTTTAAATATTATGAAAAACAATTTTCTGAAGTGAGTTTTAATTCTTTAAATTAAGTAAATGTTATGTAGAATTTTTTGATTTATCTTAATTAACATAGTGAATTGCAATATTCTTATTCGTGTCCAGACTATATTGGCAAGTCACTCTTAGACATAAAAATATTATAATTAATGACAATCTGAACAAAGATGTACTAAAAGAATTATATGATTTAATATAATTAGTTTTTACAGTACCATCTACGAGTGCATCTTTGAGCGCAGTTTTTCAACCATGGAGTGAATTCATACATTTTCAAGGAACATTCAGTCAGAGGAAACATTGTTGTCTCTAGCATTGCATTCAATAGAAAAACAGCTTTTAAATACTTTGATGGAATCAATGACAAGCAATTTTTATGATAAAGTAATTAATGACTTGTGGAAAAATTGCCAAATAGGATTAGTTTCTAAAAAATAATAAAAACAAGTTTTTATATCTTTGTTTTGTGTCAAATATCTATTTTAGAATTAACATAAATAAACTGTTTATTTTTGTCATTTCCAGTATTTGTTTAAAATTTTTATGGAAACACAGCTTCCCTATCATCAAATGTCACTACATGCCACTGTTGTTAACAAAGCATACCAAATGAATCAAGTCAAAAATCATCATCTAATATAATTAAGATGAGTTGATAAAATAAATATTTAATAAATAGTTTGTCTTTTTGTTACAAAATACTTTCTTCAGGAACAAATTTGAATGTGAGTAGAACAGAATCAAAAGTTTATTTGTTTCCGAAAAAGTTACTTTGTAATTTTAAAACATTTTAGTAACTCACCTTGATTATAATTATAATAATAATATAATTATGAATCTCAAAAATTGAAAGAAATTATTTTCTGTTGCTTAGAAACTTTCCTAAGAAATAAAATTTATTATTTAATAAAAACTAAGCAAGATTTTAATCAGATTGATTCAAAAATTTATATGTAAAGATATCTAAAAGTTTCATTATAAAATAATTAGTGAAATCTTAAATTTATTAATAGTTAAAACAAAAAGAAAGTCTGAAAAAAAGAAAAATATGCATGTATTAAATAATGTGTTATATTTTTTTTGCATATAACCTGCCTCATTATATGATCCATACCTCTTTTCAAATTGTCTTTTAAACAAAGACAACCTATGGATTATAAAAAAAAAAAATATGGTATAAACTCTTTAAACTTAACTATAGAATAACTGGATTACAATTTTCAAATTTCAGACCTGTACATTCCCACTGTCTCATTCTTTAATCTCGAGAACAGAGTCAGATAGATGAAAATCAGGACCAGACACTGAAAGCTTAGGGGCCAGGAGCCTTGATTAATTAATTATATACGTACTTCTGGTCTAGACCAGAAGTCATGTGATTTTAATTCAAAATTATCTTGAGAATGGATTAGATAGACCAAGCATGACTTGATTGTTATCAGGAGAAGTGTGACGTATAGGGGCAAGTAACTAGAGAGAGAGAGACAAAATACATTATGTACTTTTCCAGTGAATTACTCTTTAATCAAACTAATGTTTTCTGCTTTATTAATAAGACTTCATCAGGTTTTTTAAAATGAGATTCAATTTGGAACAATATTTAAAATTCCATTAATTTTAGAATGATTTACATAAGGTATTTTGTATGTCTCTAGTTACTGTCTAGTTCCAGTTTATACCAATATTTATAGGGGCGAGACAGCACTAAAATAAAGAGTAGATATGGAAAGCTTAGGGGCCAGAGACCCTAATTAAATATAGATGAACTTCCAGTCTGGATCGGAAGTGTTTTTTTTAAATTAAAAGATGATTAAAAATTGCAGCCCAGCATATTTGCTTGTTATAGTTATTACATATTGATTTCAATTTTGCAATTATTAGTTTTTAAGCCGTGAAGATGATCCAAAAATATTAGTTTATTAAAGCATTCTTTTATAAGAGTCATGGTTAGTTTGTTTATGATATTGATTTTTAAAAATAATAATAATTTAAAAAGTCATAAATTTTATTTCAACAAATACTGTTAATTTGTAAATATATTTATGATCTGTTTGCAATTATGATAAATTTATATAATATTGAAATAAGCATTATGAAGATGAAATATTTATCTTAACATTCTGTCATATCTTCAAAGTGTATATCAATTACTTTTTTTATAAAATTCAAATAATAATCTATATTTGCAAATTTATGGCTTTGAATATATTCAATATACTCTATTGAATATGAATTCAGGATTTAATGTTTATAAATCTGTGTGTGAAATTTTAGTATGAATGAAAAAGTTAAAATATAAAATGTATGTTTCCATTTTGCATGCAAAATATTAAAAACATCAAAAATATATCAATTAAAAATAGAGTTAGATGAGTTGAATTTAGTAGAGAATAGCCTATAAATAATGGCTGATACATAAATTCATTGAACATACATGGTATTATCTGTATATAGTATAAATTTTTTTAAACTATTTGAACTGTATTAATATTTATCAGCAGCATTAATAAATAAACTAACATATCCTGGAAATTGTATTCTAAATATAAATAATTCAAATCTTTCATAATATTCTACATCTGATTTTCTGAAAATAAAATTATTTTTCGTAAATATATTAATTAGTCGTATAAATACTTTTATAAAATTAGGGATGCATTGATAATGTCAAATAATAAATCTTAATTTTTTTTGTTGTCCTTGTTTCCTAATTGCTCATGCCTAAAAATGGTTATTATTACCTTCAAACTTTTGCTTTTTCTGATCAGGATGGTGATATTTACAAATGTATCTATTTTCAATGAGGAATTGGGCAAATTTGCATCTCTTCATTCACATAAAGTCACAGAAAACAAACATAATATTCAAAATAAATGTTTATTTATCTTAAATTGTATACAAAACTGACCACAAAAAATTTAGAAGTGAGAGGTTTTTTGAGATTTTCAATTATATTGAAAATGATCATGAATCAGTTAACAAATATCTTCTGTCATGTTCGCCTTATTCTGTCCTTGGCTGAGACATTCAAAGCCCAGTATATCTTGATGGAAACATTTACCTTGCTCTTCTAAATATAGTTCTATGTTCTCAAATTTATCAAGATAGTTATTGAGGAAATGAACTATAAAGGACATCTTGCAGCCAATAATTCTTCACTAGAATCTCAACTAGCACCACAGTTTTCAATCTTGTGATGCCCAGGAAGCCCTGAACCACTAGAACTAAGCTGTTCCAAGTCTCTTTCTCTATTTTAGTGAGCTTCTTGGGGAATTCTTTCATTCTACAATCTTCTTCATCTAAGGTCCCACAAAAACACTAGTTTTGACCTTTGCCAAAGACAGACTAAGAAAGAAGTCTTGAAGGTACTTGAAGAATGCAAATTCCTTATTTAGAACTGTGATAAATTGTTTTACCAGAGTTAATTTGATGTGGAGACAATAAGCATCTTTCAGGATTCAGTAGCTGTTTCTTGATTTTGTTGTTTCTGCAGAGATCTGGTCTGATGTGATCATTGCCTCCTGTGTCACAAAGGTAAAACTATTCTGGAGATTCATCAGGAATACATTCATTTTGAAGCCTTCCCAGTCATTCTCATCTCACTTCAAGGCATATAACAAAGTCTTGATGGTGCTATATTCCTCTTTGAGATATGCTGAGTTAGCTAGACGAAGAGACAAGTACTTGATTCTGTTATGGAGTAGCATCATTTCTGGATGAACTGTAGTGAACAGACACCACTTGTTTGGATTACAGGTAATTCCAATTGCATCAAATATACTGGTTGCATTATGGCATCTTGATAAGTGAAGAAACTGGAAAAAGCTTGATGATTCCTTTGATCTGTAACTTGACTACTCAGGCAACAAGTTCTAGTGCTTGAGCCTAGACATCAGAATCATTAGTTCTCTACCATTGTCAAAAGTTCATAACAGTTCTAGAAGTTACTCAGAGTTTATACTGAACTATCAAGAATAAATATAAACATTCACATCAAACCCAATACATAGCAATAATTATTACTATCATGAATTTTTTGGAAAATAAGATATATTTTGAAATATTGTTGTAGGGAAAAAATAACCATTTCCTGAACTTTGTAGACATAAGTAACTGGAAATGACACTTAATACCCAGCAAAAAAGTGTGTTACATAGTATAATCAATATTGCAATGGTTAATTATTGGCCAAATTTTTATATATATATATATAAAATTTAATGTAAATTTAAAATAATTCAAATGTTTTTATTAATATTGTTCTTTTTCATAAATTGATATTTTTCTTTAAATTCAATTTGTCAAATGATGACATTGATTTACATTTGTTTACTGTCATGTTAATTTGTACAGTGGTGACTTGTACTTTGAATTTAATTCTTTCCAGGAGGTTGTTTGAACTCTGAATCATTTGAAGTCTAAAGCAATTTTTTCCATTAGAAATAATGGAAAGTGAATTAGTTCATTCTCACACCCTAAACAATACCCATTTCAATAAACTTAAAGCAGCAAATACACATAATTTTAGGTAAAAACAACACAATTAAATCCCTATTAATAAATTAAAACATGAAAACAATGAATAAAACACGTAAGTACTGTATAACAACATGAAAATTGCATTTATTGGTTGCACACAGTTGACTTCGTCTTAAACATGGCCGTCAGATCTGCTACACATGTACCGCTTTCATGCTTTGCAATAAGTTTCTTTTTCATCTGAATTGTCGCTATTACAATCTTCCTCTTACTTGTTAGACTTCTTTGTTTCCACACATTTCTCGGATGGCATGATTAATAAGTAAAGGTGATATTGGGTTGAATAGAAATATTTTGCATATTTTATCATCTGTCTCTAGTTAACTTCTATTTTAACATCCTTTGGTCCCAGGGTTAAGCCTGCCAGATCTTACTTCTACATTTACTTCTGTCTCCTGCATCCTCTGTCTTCAATCCAGCTTTTCTCATATCCTCTTCAACTCTTTCTCCACTTCCTCCATTGTCTGCTTCTGCTTCCATTTCTTTTTTCCTCCACACCTAAATCATATGCCCTTTATATTATATCTTTCCATCCTCTTTTTAGGACATTCCAAACCATCTCAGTCACAATTTTTCTCTAGGACATTACAACTCTCAGCTCTCTTCTAATATCACTACTCTTTTTTTTCTCCTTAAGTTAAACCCAGCCAAACACTTTAATATTCATCTGTCTTTACTTAATATAGATGTGTAATTTAATTATAACAGTTGTGAAATTTAAATACATTTCCAGTGCATTTTTTCACTGGAGCACAGTTGGAACTTAGCAAGAGATGTTTCCTAATGTTTGTCTCTAGTGCCAAATTAGCATTTAATAGTAGTAGTAGTAGTAATATAGTCCAATATAATTCGGCAATTCTTTGGCTTCAATATATAACTATTGGGCTTGGGTGTTTATATTATGCAGTCTTACAATGATATAAATGGTAAAATGGTCACTACTGTATATCTGTTTCTTTTGGTCTGAAATTGCTTGATACTCTTAATGTCAACCATCAGTTAATATTAACTATTAGAAATAATCTAATGTAGATTAATGCTAAGAAGAATCTATTTATAAAAATAATTAAGCATTATTTCCTTATTTTTTTTTTATTAATTATTGTTATTTATGAATGATTTTGCACTTGTTATTCTGTTGTTTCTTTTAAATATGGCAAAAATATGATTGAAGCATTAATATAGCCCTTTTTTTATTGATATGTTTGAGTTTTTTTCTCTCTTATCCAATATAACAATATCTGAACATAAAAAATTAAATGAAAATATAATTCTGATTTAATCTGTATAAATTACTGTGTTTTAATTCACTTTAATATTGAAGAATGGCATTGATAAATTTTATTATTTTATACATAAAGTTATCATTTTTATTAGTATCTATTAAGCATAATGGTTTAAATTAGAGACTTTGTAGTATACATTTTTCATTGATTATATTTCAGTTCTTAACATATAAAAGAGTAAACTATTTTACTCAGTTTGAATTAAAGTATTATTTCAAACGGGACAACTGTTCTGTACAGATTTGTGTTTTGTTGCTAAGGGATCACTGTACATTCACTCACGAAAATATCTATTTTTTTATTCAAAAATGACAAAGAAATTTCACTTGAAAACTTTGAATTATGATAGTAGAAACTAAAGTTATATGCTTTCCAAACTGGGTTTGTCATTCTGTTGCTTTTTAAAACTAAAAAATTGTGGCTGTTGGCCATGATATTGTATATTTTAATATTTCTTATCTACCCCTTTTGCCCCTGGGGTAGGATTATCTTTTCCACGTAAATAAGAGCAAAAGAGAAGTGGGGCCCTGGGGCAAAACGGACAGAAAACAAGCACTCTGGGTTAAGATCCCGAAGAAAGTAGAGGGAAAAAGTGAGAGCTCGTAACCTGAAGTTAAGGTTAAGGATTGGCAAGAAAGAAAAGAGATGGTTTTGGAAAAAAAGGCTGTAAGGACAACGAATAATCCAAGGAAAGACAATTTTTTGATATTGAGAAGTAGCTGTATAGACTTTAGAGCAAAAGATATCAAGTTGGCGCCATAATCCAAAAGTGTATATATGTACCGAATAAAGAATACTGTGTGATATAATTGAATTTCGTATCTTTCTTTTTGTAACTTTTTGTTCGTGGATTTGTATACGTCTCTCACAACGAACTACCACAAAATGACAGTATTGCAATTTCTTAGAAGTCTTTATGCAACTTTATTAATTTTAATGGGAAAAGATGCAAAAAGAAAATGATTTTCATCACTCAGAAAAAAGATGTTTCATACATATTCTGACACTTAAGATTCATAAGATTGTTTTTATAAATGATTACGATAAATCTAAAACTTAACCAGCAACATATGAACAAGACCAAAAAAAGTATATGATTTATCATTTCTTCATAATAATCTGAACTATGGTGTCAGAGTTTGTGGTCTAATTAAAAACTTTAATGATAAATAATACAAACAAAACAAAATATAAAGAATGTACTGAATTGATTATCAACTTAAGATTAAATAAAATATAAGATTATTTAAAAATTTATTTGTTATATTGAATGTTATTTTGTATTTAAGTGCAAAATGAACAAAATGGTGGTAGTAGACCATTTTATTTCAAAGCAGAAAGGATAATTTACTCAGGACTGAACACTTACTTTGTTTAATACCTCATGATTGCAGTTACATTTGAATATCATGTAATATAAAACATACCTTGGTCAACTGCATCATCATGAAATAAAGAATCATTTCATTCATGTTTTTTGCTCATTGTTTCATTTTATACAGAGATATACTACATAGTAAGTGTCCATTTCCAAGTGAGCTAACCTGTATGAAGTAATGTGCCTAAATGTAATATATTCAACTCACTCAAGCAATGTCAAAAGTAATAATTATTTTCTGAATTTGACATTTAATAAGTTTAAAGTAACTTGAATTCAGTGTTCAATCAATCATCTTTGTTACAACACATTATTTTGTTTTTGATTAAATTTTGTAACTGTTTTAAATTTGTATGTGTTTTTGCTTCATTCAATCTATTAATCTGTTGAAATACTTTAGCATTAGGATATTATCAAGTATCATTGAAGATGGTTTTGGTTTATTGCAAAATTATTAATAATTGGCCAAATTAATCAAACCAGTTAAATTAAAAAAAAAAAACTATATCAGTGCATCCTTAAACTTAAAAAAAAACATTAATTTTATGTCTAAAAGTGAAATTTATTTCGATTTAAAATATAATTTTAAAACAAAATCTATATTTAAAGATTTATGTTATTGCATTTAAAAGGTGTATTATAATTGCAAATAAAAATATTTGTTTATAAGAATTATTTATTTGTTTCTGATTATTGATTTAGCATTTAATTGTCTATTTAAATATAATAATGCAGAGAACTGATCTGATGAGTTTCTCTAGTTTCTAGTATATTATCATAATCAAATATAAATTCGGCATCATTCTGTTGAAATTTACAAACTAGTTCTTGATATCGATAAAGTAACATGGGTGCAAGTTTATCAACATTTTGTATTTGAGCTTTAATGTTCACAATTTCCCCTTCTTTTATTAATACAGGATAAGGAAAAGCCAGAAAAGGTTCTCTATATTTATTCAACTTCATTTCTGCCAAATATTGTTCAGATTTCTTTGCACTTGAAAGCTTAATTTGAATAATTGTTCTTAATTCTGATTTCTGAATATACTGATTTTGTTGAAGTACAGATAATGTTATTCCCAATATAAAAATGTCAGATTTTAATATTTGAAATGTTATACTGAAAACATCATTTTCTTTGAGTGTTTCTGATGGTTCTTGGTTCCTAGATAAGTAAGGTCGACAAGTAAAATATTGTAAAAAGTTTCTAGAAGTCAGTTTGCAGTTTAAATATTTTGGTAAACTGATTGTTGCTTTAGGTATAAGAAGTTTCAAAAGTATGGCATAAGCTTCACTTATGCCAAATAGATTAGTATCATCTATTATTTTTGCATATTCAAATGGATACATGGTTAAAAATCGAATATGAGGGAGTAAAGGTTTAATTATATTCCGAAGATTGCTTTCTATATCCAAGTTTTGTCTTATGCATTCTTCTCTACTCCAGTTGACAATGGCAGTAAATAGATTATATTCTGAAGTTAAAGCCATATTAGATCTTTTCGTGATCATAAGTATTGTTGATAACTGGCAATGTATAAAGCCAGCTGATTTAAATACTTTTGTAGGATTCTCACTGATTATAACTAGGCATTCATATAAAGCTTTTGACATTTCTGTTTTGCAAATTAATTCGTAAATTTGACAGACAGATTCGGTAGTTATCCTGCTGCTAACATAATCTTGACATTGTTTCTCCATAAATGGTAATCCATATTTTTTAGCTGCACGAAAAGCATCTATAGCTTGCTGAACACTTGTCAAATTAATGCCATCCGTGTATAAAAATCTGCAAAGAAAAAATAATTTCAATCTAATTTATTTGTAGAACAAATACTTTCAGAATCTTTCTAGGAACTTCAAAAAGAACTAAGAATTATATTTTTAATACAGTACTTTATTTTAAATAAAGGATTACTTTTATGTATTAAAAATAAAAAAAGCTAAGCTTTAACATTATGCTTCAAAAATATATTTTCTTGATTAAACCCCAGGATTCAAATAAACAGAATGTTGAAAAGTATGGGAAACACATTTAAGTACTGCATTGTATAGGGGAATACAGTTTAGAGTGACAGATAAGGAATTTAACTAAAATTCTACTTCTTCAGATTGTCTAGAGTCAAACAGCACATTTATTCAAAGATTCATAGAACCATTTTTGGAAAATTGAGCAAGGGAAGTCAAGATGAAGTTCATGAAGTCAAGAGCTTATCAACTGAAGAATAATTAGGAAAACAAATTGGAGATGTCGAGTTTTAATAAGAAGATGGTAGTCAAGATCCTGATTCTGACAACCACATCGAAACATGCAAGAATGACAAAATGTAACTAACATACTAAACAGAAGATGCTAAATGGATTAACTGTGAAAACAATAATGAAAGATATATACCAGTAAGTGATTTATTGTTGAGAAAAGAAAAAAAATATGATGAAAAGTATGGATAAAAAAGAAAAGTGTAACAAAGAAATTAAATTAAACTAAAAAAAAAATAAGAAATAAAAGAATAATCAATTGGCATTTAAGCGGGAAAAGTCTTGGATAAATTGGAGTCGCTCGTTAAAAGCAGCTGCATTTGATATTTTGTCCAGTCTCCACTGAGTCAGCCAGTCGGTGAGTTGCTTGGCATGTCTAAAAAAACATATATTTGAAGTAGTTACATAAAAGTTGAAAATTTCCGATGGGATGAGAGGAAGGAGTTGGGCGTACTGAATGTTGACGAAAGAAAATGACATTTCCTTTAAATCGGTGCAGGCCCAGGCACACAGTTACAGCAGAAACAATCTAGTGGGGATGAGGGATGCAAATCTGGTTCCTTTTTCTTTGAACTCTGATAACTTTTCCGTAGTTCAACCAAACTCTGGAACAATATTAAACAACTGTGTGGCTTTATATTCCAAAAAGCAGCACCCAAAAATATCAAAAGACTTTTTAGTTATTAAGCTTCAAAGAGCGAAAGTCGACACTTTTGTTTTTTTGAATATATCTTTTCTCAGAGTTAATTATATTTTCCAAAAAGTAATTCGTGCACATGCCAGGGTTCTACTGAGCATTTTGACACTAAAATCATCAAAATCTAACATGGAAATTTAAAAAAGAAAAATTGAACAGGAAAGTGCAAATGCTACCCCAGAAGCGTGGGCTTCGCCCAGGCAATTAACGATGTCTCCAAAGTTCAGCGAATTCTTCCGCGAGAATAAGTTATGAGGAAACAAGGTCCTAGAATATAATCTAGGACCTTGATGAGGAAACACGTCAGAGATGCGAGTGAATGGTGACGTGACCGAATGGCTCCGCAAAATGCCACGTGACACGCTTCGTGCCCGTCCGCCATCCAATGTGCCGCTCCGCGACGAAAACAAGCTTGAACAATGTCGTTTTCAAATGGTGCACACTTGGTAAGTATTCCTACAACTTTTTTGCTTACAATATATTTTATATGGATCATTCCCACGAAATTATACGCGTTTTGGAAATGTTTGAGTCAAACTAGTCTAGAATCGATTAATTTTATTGAAGAAAACCTTTCAAACTGCTGTACTCCCTAAACTGCACAAGTGCCATAATTTTTTGTGTTCCGGAAATTCCTATCGAATATGTGTCCGTTAAAACAAAAATCAAGAAGAAACAACGTAATGGTAAGAAACTATAATTTTACCAAATACAGTACTGTATATAAATTATTACATAAACCAGTGGTTCTCAACCTTTTTTGTTGATGTACCCCTTTAGCCCATTAGTTGTTTCTCAAGTACCCCTTATATTTTTGTATGTAAATTTTATAATTACTACGTTACAGCCCTTATAACTGAGCACCATAAAAAACTGACTAAATAACTATAACTAAAAGTGAATTACTTATTTCACGTAAATAATAATAAATTTAATCCGGTACATACATTTATTTATTATTATTTGGCAAGTATGTTATATAAAATCACAGAAGTCATTTCAACACATGCATAAATTACATTTCCTAAAAATAAATAATTATAATTAAGAAAATTTAAATTATTCTATAATAATTTCTAACAAAATTTAATGGGATATTTGTTGCGATAAATTTTTTTTCTATTCTAAAATTAATGCTCGGTTAAACCGTAACTTTACTAGACTACAGGTTCACTCGGCACTAATGGCACAAATAGACAGGTAAATCAAGTGGATAAACAAGTTGTTTAGACCAGTGATGGGCAAACTTTTTAAAGAGCGGGCCAAAGGAAAAGAAGAACACTTTAGGCGGGCCAATATAATTGTAACCTAGCGCTGCATCTGAAAATCCAGGTGGCGCTATAAAAACATGTGCAGGCCGTCTGCCATATTTCTTTTTCTCTCTTTCGGCTACGCTACGCACGACGAGTGGATGTTCTGTACCGAAGCATGCTTGTAACCGATCGAGCTTTTACTCAATAAGTGTAAAACAAAATTTTGTACATGATTGTAAATAAACTTTCATGGTGAGATATAAAGCTTCGGTTATTTTATATAATCAACGAACACTCAAGTTAAGTGGTGCATCAACCACCACAGCCTGTATTCTTTTTTACTCGTCAGATTAGGAATAATGTCGCGCGGGCCGGATAGAACATTTCAGGGGGCCGCATCTGGCCCGCAGGCCGTAGTTTGCCCATCACTGGTTTAGACTGTTAAAAAGGAAATCGGTGTTCACACTGGGATATTTTGAAGCAAGTTTTTGTTATTTCTTGTTTCTTGTGTTAATAATTTACAGCAAATTGATTAACATACGCCATTTTATAATGAAAGATAGATGTACTCCTTTGATTTACTCTCGTACCCCTAGGGGTACATGTACTCCCGGTTGAGAACCACTGACATAAACAGTAGTAGTAGTAACAACTTAGGCTTAATATTTTTCAATAATGATAATATAGCTGATCTTATAGCATAACTTAGGTATTATTCATTTTCTATTCATTGTAAATTCAAAAATAAGCTCGTTTTGTATTTTACAATTGTTAATTTCAAATGCAGGTTCTTGAGAAAGTTTTATTAGAGTGATACAGTAGATCCCCTATAACACTGTAAATAATTCCGTTTTATATGAATTCCATGTTGTACGAGTCACTTAGATTTTACAAATACGTGAGCCGCTCATAGCCCGGCACACGTATTTGTAAAATCTAAGTGACTCGTACAACATGGAATTCATATAAAACGGAATTATCAACAGTGTTATAGGGGGTCGACCGTATTTTTAAAAATTGGTCTTATAGTATAATACTGTATAATACTAACTAGATTGATGGCAGGATGGAAAAGTAAATTCACACACCTGTCACTCTAGGGAAATTTTCACGGGTAAGTTAACCTGGTATGTTAGGTCCTCATTTGGGTGGTCTAATGACTACTTTTGATAATATCCTTCGTACAACACATTCCTACAACACGGTTTTGCTCTAACATAGTTCGAGAATTGGTGAAATCCCCCATACAATGCAGTGTTCTCTTATTCTAGCTCTCCTACCGGTATAAACCAAGTGTTGCAGTTGTTGGCGATAGTACTAAATGAACCTGACTGTCGCTGGGTTTCGTTTTTATATAGGAGACATTCCAATTTTCAACGCTGACTAAGCGCTGATCTCAACATATATTGAACGCTACTTTCCAATGAATTATGAGTAATTTTTTTTAACTCTTTCTGCCCCGTGGGCACTAAGAGGGCCTCTTTTTGCAAGCCCATTATGGGTTCGGCCAGGCCCACAATAGGGCTGCCGGGTGGTGAGGGACGGGGCCTGACATATCTGAACGGACCACCCTCCGAAAAATTCCTGGGGATTTTTTCGACCCATTCGGATTCGAACCCGGGTTCCCCAGAGCGGTAGACTGCCACCTTGACCGCTCGGCCATCCGGCCGCTAATTATGAGTAACTAGCAGACCCCACGCGTTGTTGTGGCTCAAAATGTATCTATTATAAATTTATAACACTTCCCCCGTGGGGGGGATTTTTCGAAAAATTTCTTCTTAGTGTACATTCTGTTGAAGTACCCTATTAAAACGCAATCAAAAATGCAAAAACCCGCATCTAAAATAGTATAAATAGAAGCAGAGTTCTTTACCGTAAGCCTTAATCTTAACCATCTCCCTTCAGTGGGGTTGAATTTCGACACGTATATTATATAAAAACACGTGCGTATTCGAATGCAGCGTTGTGTCAAAATTTCAAAGGAATCGGTAGGAACAAACGAACATTACATTTTTATTTATATAAATAGATAGATGATGATCCGCTTTAGTTCATTTTCACAGAAAAGCATAATGCCTCACAGAAAAGCAAAATTAGGGTGTCGTACTCGTAGCGCCATCTGTGGGCATAAAAGCCTTAACCGTAGATGATATCATTTAATTTATATGAATGTTTAACGGAATAACATACAGCCTATGTCCACCCTGAAGTTCCATTCTAAATACTGGTGAAAGAATTTTTGAAATCGGATGAGTAGTTTCGGAGATTACCTGCTGCATACAAACTTACATACAAACATTACCTCTTTATATTAGTATATAGATATAGATTGGTGCGACATTTTTCATTCAAATGTCGCACCAATGTTAGGCACTGTCCATAAATTACGTCAGAATTTTTCTTGAAATTTTTTACTTCTCCTCTTCTCTTCGGACTTCCAACAAAACTGAACCCCCCTTAAAACCTTTATCACTCTGTGATTAATAGGCACCATAAGCAGAAACGAAACATACAGAAAAAATGAATAAACGGATGTCCTCTGAAGCTCAACCCCTTCCCTTGTCATTTATGGACAACCCTTTGACCGCATATCTGAATATTTTAATAATTCACAATTATGATATGAAATTTTACCTCAGCATTGTCTCAAATCCTTGTGATGAGATATCGGAAATATGAATTTCTGCATCTGTGTTGAAGGAAAATAATGACTCAAAAATGGCACTTCTGGCTGATAAGAAAAATTTGTGCGAAAAAAATTTCTTCTGTGTTTTATCTTCGTCTTCAATAAGAAAAACAACATCACTAAGCACTTTACTATGATATAAATACAAGAAAGTAGATTGAACTGATGATTGATATTCTTGCCAATTTTCTCTTTTAATCTAAAAAAAAATTAATTTTCACAATTATTTTCAATTAAAAAAAAAAATTGAAAATATGAAAACAAACTTACCACTTCTGTTGACTCTCCTCTTGCCATATTAAAAAGAATATTCTAAAATTCAAACTTGAAAATGTTAATTTGATTTTTTAGTAATAAATCAAGAAACAAAAACTTTATAAAAGAAAATAATTAAATACAGTTAAAAAATTTGTAATTTTACAAAAAATTTTTATTTGAATTGCTAAAAATATACTTCTTAATTAACTCAAGAATCATTTCTGCAATTAGAAAAATTTACCTTTAATTTTATGCAACATCAAATAATACTCGATAACAAAATGCCGATCAAAATTATTATGTAGTCGACATTGTTGACACCTTAATAGACATCATAACTTGAGAATAATATTTTTAAAATGTCTAAATTATAATTTCAACAGTCACACACGACCTTATTAGATCTACCATTTAAATCAGATATGCATTATTGAAATGCACACACAAACAAATTAAGTTTTCTATAGAAATGTATTAAATAAATTCCACTGGTTAGGGGATAACACGTCTTACACGAACATTTACTGTACCGAAATAAACTGTGACAAAATTCAACAGCTTCATAAAATTACCGATTTCTTCGGGGCTACGAAAGTGTTTTTTTTACACTTCTTATATAACACTTAACACGACAACAAAAACCTGTCTTAAGAGGACGCATACAGTACCAAAGGCTGGATGGCCGAGCGGTCAAGGTGGCAGCCTACCGCTTTGGGGAACCAGGGTTCGAAACATCCCCAGGAATTTTTCGGGGGGGGTAGTTCGTTCGGATACGTCGGCCTCGTCCCTTACCACCCGGTCACCCCATTGTGGGCCTGCTAAAAAGAGACTCTCTTAGTGCTCACGTGATGGAGTGTTAAAAATTGATAAGTAGTCGTCAGTTCTGCGGTAACGATCGACTTTGCATGTCGAAATTATGTATTTAGCAGAAAAATTTACACGTTTACACCTCATACCCACCGAAAACGCTCGATATCGTAATCATCTCACATGCTTGTATTCTGTTCGAATATGACTTCTGTTATTTCTTCGTCTTGGACGTTTAGTAAAATCATGCGAAGGCGTCTTCCCTCTGACAGTTTACATTTAATTCTGTCCTTAACATTTGGTAACGCTTCTATCGCGCTACGAAGGGTTTACTCTTTCCCTTAGCATTGCTTACACGGAGACAGAGTCCTTCTCCTGAAACGTGTCTTATCGATTTCGCGTTTGCTTTTAAATTAAGCTTATTCGGATGAACGTTTGCTATAATGTGTTTGATGATTTCTTCCACGTCAATCTTTTCCTCTGAATTCTGTTTCGGGTAAACAATCAAAGCAAGGTTACTCCCTGGTTTTTCAGTGTTGATTTTTTTATTTAGGGTTATTGCGATGACTCTAGTTATATTGCTGGGTTTACCGTTTGTACGGGTCACCTCATCAAAAGTTAGATGAGGAAGGTGTTCCTTGGAGTTTTCTCCTATTGTTGTAGGATCCTTCCTGTTATCCTACAACAATAGGATTATCCTTCCTGTCCTTCTGTATGATTCCATAAACCTGGTTTAAGGCCGCAAAGAGAAGGGTGGCCTGTTTCAATCCTTTAGTCCTTGCGGACAGTGACATTCGAAAATTCCGGGAACAGGTCCAAGATCGCAGTCCTTTTTAATGATATGTTCCTCTGGAGTTTCAGAAGGATGGCTTAGGGTGGCTCACAAAGATCATCATGTAGCAGAAATAGGGCTTTAACAGAAGCTGACAGACTAACCGGGAACTTGCAGTTATTGATAACAGCCGGCAAAATATCAATAAAACAGAAATTGCATTCGAATTAATCAAAACTCTTAAAACTATGGAAACGAACATTTCGTAAGTATTTAAAAGAGATGTTCTATTTTTTAATAAATTAAATATGCTTTTAAATTAAAATTTAATGAAGTAAAAATTAAAAATAGATTGAAAGTCATAACAAAATTGTAAGTAAATTTTTGAAGAACGAAATAAAAATAACAAATGTTAAGAGGATTTCAATATGATGGAGAATACGAACAATTAAGATTTAAATAACTGATTTTAAAATATTAGCGTGTAATTAATTTCTCAAAATTTACAAAATTATTATTATTATTTTTAATGTAAACTTACGGTTTATTCGTTTCATTTAAAGTTTAGCTTATCGATGTTAAAATTTCGAATAGAAATGTTCTAATTCTTTAAACTTAAGTATTGTTTTATGGTGAGAGAATCTATGGAATTTCTTTATAAAATGCTTTTGCTCTTTCGTGGATAAATATGTATTTCACTTTGATAAAATCAGATTTAATTTTTAAAATGTTTTAAACTATGTCATAAATTTGATTAACGTAAACCAATATTAATACAGTAGAGCCTCGATTATCCGACCCAATTGGGGACTGGGGTTGGTTGGATAATTGAAAAGTCGGATAACCGAAAAGTATGAAAAAAATCCATTATTAGTGTAGTATATTATTATATCCCATGTAATTAGTATATCGCTATTAACCTATTTCGCGTTGAATTTTCATCGATGTTAAGTCTAACAAAATTTTTAAAAATAATAATTGTCGCTATTGTATCGTTAAAAATTAGAAAATTAAGCCTCGTTTAAGGCCCTGTACACACTAGGCGTTTTTCAACGCGCGTTAGCTCGGCGTTCGACGAGCGTTAGTTCGGCGTTTAGCACTGGCTCAGTTTGGAAATGGACGAGAAAGTAATTGATTGTGTGTGCTCCTCCATCGTCGCTATAAGGCAGCACATATATCTCAAAGCGCCCATAAAGTGCCCGCAAAACGCGCGTTTTAACAAAAATCTATAAACGCGCGTTTAACGCGCGCTTGGCGTTTGAGTGTGTACGGCTACATAGAACTCTTGGTTCTTTAAAACGCGCGTTGAAAAACGCCTAGTGTGTACAGGGCCT